GACTGTACATAGTACCCTCGCCTTCAAATGGGTTACAAGGCTTCTGTCAACCAGGGGGTGAGAGTGTAGAAGGAAAAGCAGACGTTCTTTGTGGTAGTGGGACTAAGCCTTTTGAAGGAGGTAAAGAAAGCGGAGATTCTGTAATAGTGCGCTTGTGTGAGAGCTCCCAGACAGCACAACAAAACGCTGAATTGCCTAGCCTCACGGTTGACAGATGTCCGGAGACCGGCACACTCTGCATTATCAACCTGTCGTAGGACCCCACCCAATCCATTCTGTCACTTCCCCATCGTCTTATAGGAATTTTCGTGACCACTTCTTTGAAAATCAGAAAGTTTCGAGCTATCTCCAGACCTTTGAAAGAGGCGAAAAAGTCGAAAGTTAGGCCTGTAGGTTATAATTATCAACCTCGTCTGGCACAGAGGAATTAAACAGCAAGAATTAAGCAAGAGACACTGATTTCGAGCCTTCGTCTCCTCAACTTCAAGTCCTTCAATTAGATCAGGTAACCAGAAATTCGATGATTCAAGATTGGGCTTTTGCTTTGGCTTTGGCTCTGACTCACATTTACTATGAGTTGATCAAAATTTTCTAACAGAGGTGGACTGACCTCTGATAGTACGTCATGATCAGAAAGCTTAACACAAAACAAAACATTTCAATTCAGACAGGTTGGCAACACTACGGGAAATCTTTAGCACTGTCGTGCACTCACTCCCCCAAGCGGTAACTCCTGCAATGGGTTTCACACTTTTCCCCTTCTTGAAGTACAGGCCTGGCTCTTGAAATCTTATCAATAGACAAAAACTACTTATATATTCCATAGAAGATTAGCGAGAATTGGAGTACGGTAGGTGGTGTTTCTGAGGAAAATTGAAGTAGAGTGCAGCCCATGCGACGCAGTGGACGTCTCCTATCAGGAATGTCATCCAGTTCATGCCCCGGGTTTTAGGACCAGCTTTCTTCCAGAGATGGGAAAAATGCACAGAACGCAGAACTCAGGTTCATTCTTTCTGGGCTGTTCGCATGCCAAAAAGGGGTCAAGAAAAGCTGACGCGTTACAACGTTTCGACGCCAGTTCAGTGTTGATGCGGTTTGTCACTAGCTCTGTCACTAGTTCAAATCCTGACATGTGAGGTGAAAATTTCAAGAGAAGGCTCAACACAAGGGCCTCCTCCCTATTACCAGTTCCAGGGTGAGAATCGTGTCGAGGACGTGGTCGCAGAAGTACGACCCCCCCCCCTGAGATCGAGGACTTGGCACGACCCCCCTAAAACAGAGCATACGCAAAATAACAAACAACAGCCGAGTGTATCGACGGTCCAACGGCAGCTGCGGCGCGATTTGTCCCTGGGTCAGATTTGCTGAAATCCCGAAAAAAAAAACCGTCGAAATCTACACCCTCGATGAAAAGGTTCCATTCCTCCATTTCCCAACCTTTTGAACAGCACGCGGTAGGGTTAGATAGAGCTAGATTTGCTACTATCAGGCAGTATTGGAATTGCTATGAAAGCCTTCCATTCGAAGAGATATAGTCTCTCAAAATCCGTCGAGAGGATGCTGAAATTTTCATGCGAGTTTTTGCCACTTAAAAGGCAATATCTCTCTAATTTCGCAAGATCTTGGGAAAACGAAGACAGTTTTGGAAAGCGGAAGGTTTGCGCTTTCTAACAGTTTCTCGGCTTCGTTTATGTTTAGCTTCCTTCTACATTCTCTAGTTGAGGAGATATTTGCGTCGAGGATCTATCGAGGATGATTCTCGGCCGCTCAAAAAGCCGCTCCCTTCTTCACCATTGCAAGTGTAATTCGTTGGCAACGCTCGAAATGTGTCTAGAATACATTCTTCCAACATAAGCAATAAGAAAAGGGGCAATCGTCATCATCCGATTTTGTCTGGGTATAGGCCATGCATCCGACCTTCACTCGAAGTTGCAGAATCGATTGAAAGGTGTTATATGATCATGACCAAGCTGCATTGTAGTAAACACATTTCGTAACTCCTATACCTGAAGAACAGCTTCATTTGCCCAGGGCCTTTCCTTCACGGTTGTCGTTTTTGCGACAGGGTCCCTAACAACAGTGTCATTCTCAGCGAGGTATTAAGGGAGAAGGAGCGGGCGGTAGATAGAGGAGGTGCCTTTGCAGCGTGTGCACATGTGGCCCCTTCCTTGCGGAGATGCACTTTCATTCTTTGTACTGCTTTCAAATACGTCCTTCTCATAAAGGTAGAGGAATGGAGCGACTGAACCTGCAAAGAATATTTTATATCATGTTTTTTCACATATTTCATTTTCTGCTGCGCTATACCCTCTTACCTATCTGCACCACGATACCACTGCTGTTACTGAGAGTACGACCCCCCATGACCCAGCCTGACAAGTACGACCCCCCTGTCGAAGGATTTCGTCATTCGATATTCACCCTGATCGAACCTACACCGCTGGGTGTGTTTTTTGACGCTGAATTTAAGCCATTGGACCGGTGCTGTACCACGTGCAACACGCCACCACACAGAAAATGGTAGCTATAATTGACTTTTTCAGCACATTCTGAGTTACAAAGTCATTAATTCTTTCCGTGCACAAGTACGTCATATATTTATACGTTGATAAAACTATGAAAATATTATTGGGTACTGACACTTTAACGTTCCTACTCAGTGAATAAGGATACTTCGTGAGCTCTACAGCAACTTTACGACCAGGATCTCACCATTCTACAAGGAGGTCATCATCGACGTCAAGAGAGGGGTTCGACAGGGCGCCCAAACTCTTCAGCGCCGCTCTCGAGAACGTCATGCGTCAACTGGAATGGGAAGACATGGGAGTGAAGGTCGACGGCCGGCAACTACACCACCTTCGTTTTGCTGACGACATCGTTCTTATAACGCCGAACATCGAGCAAGCGGAGCGAATGCTGGCTGATTTCGACTGCGCCTGTGGTAAGGTCGGTCTACAGCTGAACCTAACGAAGACGATGTTTATGAGAAACGGATTGGTTCCTGATGCCCCATTCACGCTCAACGGAACGAACATCACCGAATGCTCCAGCTACGTGTACCTAGGTCGGGAAATCAATATGATGAACGATCTAGCTCCAGAGCTGAGCAGGAGGAAACGAGCGGCTTGGGGAGCGTTCAAGAACATCGAGGGAGTAGTGAAGAAGACGAAGAACATCCGGCTCCGTGCCCACCTCTTCGATTCCGCTGTCCTTCCTGCCCTAACCTACGCCTCAGAGACTTGGACTCTGTACGATGCTAGGAGTACCCTATACACGCAAGTGCAGAGGGGAATCCGGAGTTTGAACTACGCCAACGATCGAAGATCAGGGACGCTGCCGTTTTCGCCAAGGAATCGAAGATAAGGTGGGCCGGACACGTCATGCGATTTTGCGATGACCGTTGGACCAGAGCGGTTACCGACTGGATCCCTCGGGACGTCAAACGAACACCTGGACGACCGCCGGCCCGATGGTCAGACTTCTTCACGAAAGCTCTGAACGAAAGGAATGAAGGACACGTGTCCCTCGAGCGAGGAGGGTCCACGCGACAGGGACGAATGGAGACGTTGCTGGCGCCCGCTCGAGCTTTGGTCAACGGGACGACAGGTGATACAGGTGATACAGATGATGACACTTTTGTACGGGTGACTATAGACAAGCATCAAGTCACGCAGTTGGGAGGCTTTTTCAACCATGTGGGCACAAAGGCAAAAGCGGAACTCGTCAGGGAATTCGATCCTACGACCTCTCTCACGTGAAGCCCGGACCACTACCGCTGCACTATTTTGCTTCATAACTCCATTCAGAAAATCGTTTGGCAGATTTGGAAAGCAGATTCGAGATCAGTGGCTCGAAACATATCGTAGTTCTATTGCATATGCCAACTCGACCCATCATTCTTTCCGGGTTAGTTATACAAGTCTGGGCTGGGAGAAGGATTTGTCCGAACGTGTTTTCAGCAACTGTTGGCTCAATACCATCAATCGGCACGCGTACCCTAATTTCCGGTGTATAAGCCCGCGCCGATTTCACGTAAAACCACCCCCGCTCGTGCAGTGTAACTTTGTACACCTTAGAAACCACCGTAAATTTGCCTATAGAGGTAATTCGATGCCCTGATCACGAAAATGACTTTCATTTTAGCGGTGGCGCCATCTGGCGCCAGTTGGCGCCACCTTGTCACGACCCTTGTTTTCACCAAAATCGGTGTAAACTTCAGTATAGGGGTTATTTGGGACCCTGATTACGAATATGACATTCATTTTGGCGCTAGCGCTGTTTGACGCCTATTT